CCCTCCCCTTCCCCTGCCCCTCTCTCCTCACTGCACTCCTGACAGCCGGGCGGCTCCCGGCGCGGGCTTCCTGGGCCGGCCCGAGGCCTGCCCGAGCCCTCTGCGGTGCTTTCCGGCCGTGCAGTCTCGGCTCAACCCTTGGGTCCCTGGGGCTGCTTTGGGCCTCGCTCCTGGGGAGACCGCGGCCGGTGTTAGTGCTCTGCCCTCCCTGACGGGCACCGCACCAACTGGCTCGGCCCCAGGTGCTGGCACAAGCAGTTCTGTGCTGAGAGCTTGTCTTCTGAGAGCCCTGTTTTCTTTAGGCTGCCTGTAACTGCTCCTACTGCTTGTTTCTGAAAACCTTCCTTTTAGGGGGTAGCATGCAAAGAATCAATAATTCTTGCCTAGCTATATTAGAGAGGTACCCATCTTCCTCCTGCAGACCACCATCAGATATATATATGCGGTGGGTAAAATTTTAAAGGCTCTTTATGTGCAGTGGAGTATTAACATAATCGCCAATAAACTTAAAAGCCCTTTTAGCTCCGACACAGGAATGTTTCATTTTTTACGTGAAAGGTTGCTTGCTTGAAGAGCTTCAAGCCTAAGCGACTGGTTCACTGTAGAGTACAGTTTCCGTACTTGTTGTGAAGTGATGACATTTTGTGTTATAAGCCATTCAATTCACTGAGTGATATGGGATTTAATCCTACCGTTTTAAGGTTGAAAATCTGCAGTGGAATGAAATTCTTTTTTTGGAATAAAATGAGATTTTTGGTCATTTTTATTAGCAGAGGTAGTATCTGCAGAAATATGTGAAAGAAATCCTAGGTGAAGCCATCACTTTCTATTCGGAAAAGTATGAAATGGTTTCAGTATGGCAAAATTATTAGGAAGAGCATGCTGAATTCTATTGCATTAGGACTGAATGATCTTCATACTGCACATGCACTTATTCCAGCAGCAGATTGGAAGAAGTCATAACTGTCAATTAAAGTTGAGTTCAGCAAGGTGGTAATTTTATCATGGAATGGCTATTATGCTGTAACTGCCTGTCGTGGTCTTGCCTGTGAAAAATACAGGGTAAGAATCTCTATGTGAGCAGTTTCCACAGATCAGTTAGATGGGCTGTAAGGTTACGACCTAGCGTGCTTTGTGGTCGTTGATTCCTTTTTGTTGTTAAGATGAGTATTTCTATAATGGCAATAGAAAATTTAACTAATCCCTTAGATTCTGTAATATTTTTGTCATGTAAGTCTTGCAATTAATTTCAATGCAACACATGCTTGATGCTTCTTAAGGAAAGTTGAATCCCTGGCAGTTGTTAAAGGGGTGCTGAGCACATCTGTCAGAACTGCAGGGTTCTCAGAATAATAGGGCTGCAGTAACTGCTACTAGTTTATGATGAATCAAGAATCATCAAGATTTGTTGGCAACGTGCTTGTTAAAAACTGATTCTTCTTTCTTAACAGAACCTTTTCAAAAAAGACTACAGAACAAGATTCTGCCATGGAGGAGGGTAATTTACATTTATACTTAAAATTCCAATTTTAGACAGTATAGTTTGGAAAAGTTACCCTGATTTATTTCTGTGAACTTAATGTCAAAATTACAGGAGCGTATCTTTTAACATTGGTTATGTAGCGGTTCCCAACTTGTATTTCTTAGCAGTGCAAAGCAAATTGTGCTCAGGGAGAGAATACAGTGTCTTACTGAAGCTTGGAGTTTAGCACTTTGTATGTCCTTTTGATCAATGGTTGGAAAAATTAGTGTTTAATATGCTTCTGATGCTCTCTTACCTCAGTGCATGCATTCCTCCTAGACCTCGTGGGTGCAAAGGTGTTACTACTGTTACTACTCCGCAAAGAGCGGAGAACAGATGGCAGCAATTCTGCAACAGAGAATATTGTCCACCTCAATAGCCAGTATGACATCTAGTGATAGGTTGTCCACAGGATAGAGTCCTTTATTTACACAATTTAAGTAATTTACATTGAAAAAATACATAGATGTGTGTATGTGTATATATTTAATATAAATTCAATGTACTTATGTATGTGTGTGTATATATATATTTTTTACTTTCTATCCTTCCCAGGCTCTTTCCTTTTTCATTGACTGCTTTTCCTTTGCATTCCTCTATTAAAGTGGCAGACTATGGTGCAGAGATACTGAGGCTACCTCTAGCTAGGCTAGTTGAGTACTGAAACAGTAGTCCTTGCAAACGTTTTTCCTCTGAGGTTGTAGAGAAATGAAGCACCTGCAGAGTTCGAACTTGTGTTGTTTGGCCCTTTCTGGTAAATTAGCTTGAGTATTGTATGTTGAGTATGTTGAGTACTGAAGAGTAGCTTGAGTATTTGTTGTGCTGTAGTCTTTCCTAAAGGAATTTCAGAAGTTAGTGAGCTTTGTGTTACTGGCATCCGTTTCTAGACATGCGTTTCATGAGTTTGCTAAGAAAAAAATCTACAAAATTATCTGTTTTAGAAGACATATAATAATCACGTGGAAGAAGTGTTCTGTAGCTTTTTTGTTGTTATTTTCATCAAAGTGTTTTAGCTAGTGGATCTCTTCTGCCATTTTCAGTTCCCTTAGAGGAGATAAGAAATAGCAACCTAACCATTTGAGCTGGTTTGATACTTGCTTACAGATTTGAAACTTCAAGCCAACTCTTGCTGTTGAAGCTATGGTAGAAGCTTGGAGTAACTGATTGAGTGGTAGTAAGAGAAGACAAGGGTGGCTCTTTGTGTGAGGAGATAGATGTGCTGCCTACAAATTTCCTTTCCATGTGTGCTGAGGTTGGATCATTGTGCAGACAGTATTACATGAGTTTTGTTTTTTTTTTTTTTAAAGCCAGAAAGTCTGTTCAGCCCAAAGTTGTGTTACCTGAGGGCTATTCCAACTGTTGTATGTTTTCTGTTTCACAGAGGTATTTCTTCATTCCCATCATATTCAGTAACAGAGGGCCTTTTTCTCCTGCAGTGCTTATTTAGACAAGTTTCTATGCATGCATCTCTCTGTGGAAACGTTAGGTGAAAGCTATTAGATTTGGGATCGGTGAAAACAATAGTGTAAAATATTAAGTAGGAACAACTGTAATGTTTGCTGTAGGTGCTGTTATGTAGTTCCAAGTTAGTTAGGAATGTTTAGTATTGTTTATTGAAAATAATTTTGTTCTTTTCTTTCTAGGAAACAGATTGATATACAACCAGGCCAGAACGTACTGAAAATCATACAAGACTGCTTCGAAAGTAAGTTTTTATTTGAGATTATGCTTAATTTACTAATTAAATTTAAAAATAAAAAAAACAATTTCTTTCCTGTATCAAATGCAGTGGTAAATAAATAGAAATAAAATATATAAAAATAAAAAGGTAAATGGTTCAGTTTTTTCATCACATCAAAAGCATCACAGTCTTTGAAAGCACCCCCCTCCCAACCCTTTAAAACTGTGTTTTAGCCGTCTTAGGTGGTAATATTTTTCCTGAATGGCTGCTTTCTTTCTTATTTGGATTTATTAGAACTTAAAAAGTCGTAGTGATTTTTTTGAAATGAACTCAAAGCCTGTACAATTCAAAGTATCCTGTACTTACGGTTTTTTCTTTATAGGTTATGGTAGTGATGTTACAATAAATTCTCCGAGTACAACACGTTGCTCAACTCCTGTTGTTAGAAACAAAAAGGGGACTTCAATACAAAGTGAAAAGGTAAGTTACGTTAGTGTCACAGGCTACCGTTGGGTACAGTTTTACTTTGGTGTGTATTTATTTCTATAGGATTGCGCATTGACTGAATAAGCTCCATATGTCCTAAATATTAGTATATTGGCTATAGTTTAACCTTCTGGTATAATTGTTGATCAAGTTATTTCCTAGGTTGTTGTGCTGTAGTAAAAGGGAAATATTCTTTAACAAAGCTTCTGGGATAGTAACTTTTTCAGGTTCAAGCACACTGCTTTATAGCAGGTGGTGGGTATGGCTGTCTTGAAATCCATTGAACTTGGCCTTGTTCATTTTTCCAGATGAATGGATGTAGCTTTTAGCAATCAGATGGACAGTAAAATTGAAAGATGATTTTTGTATAGATGATGCTTGTCAGCTCCTGATAATTGGTTGTCTATCTGTAAAATAACTTTGTATATCTGTAACTTTGTTGAGGAACAAAGGAAACAAGTCAAAGGACTTATTAGAGTCTTGTCTGAGCGAGTGTTACAAGTAATGTAATTTGTGCCTGCAGCCTCGTCTACCTGTTTTTAATATTTTGATTACAGTGATTAAAAAAAAAAACCAGAATATTCTGTTAATAGTGGTTAAAACAGATTGCTTTTGTAGTGGAATCTGTGTATTTTAGTCTGATGATACAATACTGTATTTTCCTGAAAGTAATTATTGCAAAACCTCAGCTTGGTTTAATAAAGGTGAATTAGATTATTTAAATTAATTCATTTTACTGAAGAGAATAAATAGCTTGCCTCTGGACTAGCAGGAGGCCTGTACAAAGCTGCAAATTGATTTTTAGGATATATACTGTTTTACCTGTTGTTTGAAATTTACTGTTACTTTCTTGAAAGTCCCAAATGATAGAAAAGGGATATATTCTTATCCAAATACTTCTACTATTGCTGTATCAAACATTTTCGTTTGTTTCTTTATTTTCCATCAAATATGGCAGCCAAATGCAGGTTTAACTAACTCTGTGAAAAACACCTGTAGTTCCGCAGACTCCTTATCTGCATCACCACTGAAAACAGTCATCAGCAAAGGTTGGTACTATCATTATTGAATTTAGGTTTTAGGGTAGCTATTTCTTGGGATTTTTATACAGCTTTGAGGGAAAGAACTAAAGCTATTTAATATATATAGCAGGATGGTCACCTGAATCACACGTGAAGCCTGCGATACATGATTACGTATCTGATGCTAACAAAACAGAGGTTCCTGTGTCTAAAGGTGAAAGCTCAAATAAAAATGTCACTGCAGACACCAATGATCTTGATGGATCTTCTTGCAAAACAGATAATATATTAAAAGATGTCGAAGTGCTATGCAAAAGTCCTGCCAACTCCTCAGTCTTTGAGGATGATCACGAGGCTGTGGGATCACCTCTTCTTGTGGAGGAAGCAATAAGTTCTCCTGTCCCTGTGTAAGTAGAGCTAATTTTTTTTTTCATTTTAGGGTAAATTAACACAGTGATTTTACTCATTTATGAGTTTGGTTTGTGAATTTAAAAAAAAAAAATCCAGCCAGGGAGAGAATTTTCACATTTGTTTAGAAGGCTGTTGCAGGGTGTAGAGGTGAGTTTTTATTCAGTATTCTGGTGATTAGAGTTAACCCCCAGAAGTGCAGTATCCAGGTGCAGAATACCTGCCAGAATGGATTTGAACTCCTTTTATCCAGAAAAATGCCCCAAACTGTCAGCTTCTCAGATATTCTATTCTGTTTTTTTCAGTAAATCCTGTTGACGGTGTTCACCTTAAAAGCAACACAGATTTTGCTAAAGCATAGATGAGAAGTCCTCCTTCCTCTCAGTCTAAATATGCAAATATTTTATACAAAGTGGTACAACATCAGTTGTGGTCACTGAGAGATTTCCTCTTTGGAAAATCGGAAGTTCAGTTGCCATAGTGGCCAGCTGCTGTGGTCATGGTTTTGCTGTCTTGAAGGACTGAATCTCTGGGGAAGTTGATAGAGAGGGAGTGGCAGTGCTCCCATTGACCCATGGTGTGATGAAACTGTGAAGAGTTTCATTCAGGGATGCGCCCAGGATCTAGGAGACCTGACAATTTTTGAAGCGCTTTCTCTTAAAATTATGTGTTTGGATTGTTGAGCAGCCCTTGCTTTGCTCAAGAGTCTCAGGTTTGCCCTTGTTGCCTTATTGATTAGGACGCTAGCTACTATACTTGGAAGTAGGAACGATAGCCTGTGTTCCAGCAAATTACCAAATGAAAGTTCATTCATAAAAGGTGAGACAGTGTCAGCAGGAGAAAGTGAGAGCATTTCTCCATCAACGAGGTACTTTAATGTATAGCATTGTATTTAAATACAGTTTCTCATATCTAGATTACGTTTTGATGAGCAAAATACTCCTACTGCATTTAAGAGCCGTGTGGAAGTTGAAAATTTGGGAGGACCTCAAACTGGGAAAAATGAGCAGCTTGTTCTGGTGCAAGGAACAGACCATACTGCTGTGTCCTCTGTACAGAAAAAGAAGTCTTCTTTCTCTTCAGCGTTCTTAGCAGCTGTAATGACAGGAACACTTGGAAAAAGGTGTGTTTGGAGGCTTAACGTGGAAGATAATTTGCTAGTAAAATAATCCAGGCCTAAGTATCGGAATAACATAATTTTACCTATAAATATGATATGGGATGATGTCTTGGGATATTCCCTCATTACTGAAAAGCTCGACCTGAGGAAGGTGTTAAGTAGCTATTTGAGCTTTTTGTGCAACTATGGTTTAATAATGGTATTTCTTTTGTCTGCCAGTGAAAGAGTATACAGCTTTTAAAAAGCTTTTCAGATTGAGCCTGAGAGGTTTTGATACATAACGTTGGAGTATTCAGGCAAAGGATATGTGATTCTTAAGTTAGTGGTGATCAAGCAGTCTTTTAGAGCAGATATGGATCTGAGCAGTTAGGTAGGAAGCTGCCTATGTAGCATCTGAGAAATGATGAGATATGGGTATCAGGCTAAAGAAAGAAAAAGCAGGCGTTGTGCTCCTTTTGGAAGATTAAAGGCAATGAATGATGGCCTTTGTAATCATTGTTCTGAATAGTATCCTATAGCATGCTTGTGTGCTCTGCAGTCATCACTAGGATTTACAAGATCGAAACTCAATTTTTTTTCCTATTCATATGAACACTTTGTCCCTCCTTTCTTCAGGTGTTCAGCCTCAGTATCACCACCATCACCTCCTCTTGTGAAAGATCAAGATTTAGAAATAGAAAATGAATGTGAATTTTTAATTGATGAATCAGATGGTGTGTCTTTTAATTCTTGGTTTTCAATACCCCAGAAGAACAAAAAACCAAAAAAAGATGGCTCTGCAACTCCTACTTTGAAATCTCAGTCCTCTGAAAGGCAGAAGACAGAAAGTAAGAAAGGCAGGAACAGAAAGGTACAGATTGAAGCACTTGATAAACAGCAAACGCATGATTTGGATGTCAGAGTGCAACGTGACTTCAGAAGTGCATCAGAATTGGAGACAGTATCTTCTGACAGGGAAGGAAATGTCCTTAAATCTCAAAGACAAAGCAGAACTCATATGGGTGAGTTATTTAACAGGTCTTTGGGCTTTTCCTTTGAGGTCACCATATTACTGCCTTTTTTTGTTTTTAATGGGAAATGAGGAGGATAAAGGAGATGAGACAAATTGCCAGTCTTAATTGATATTGCAGGTGCTCAGTTAGGTGTGGGTTTATATAAGGCAGTGAGGGAGAATGTCTTTGCTCATTTCTTTTTGTTAGCCCTTCCTATTAAGAGTTTTAAAATTAAGTTGGCAGTGATGACTTCCTCCTTTTCTTAAAAACGGAATGAAGAAGGAAAGTACCTTCAAGCTTCTACTCCTGTCTCGCTAGGAATAAGGTTAAGATGTGTGTTGTGAATTGAGATTCAGTTTCTGAGGATTAGCTGGGAAGGGTTTCTTAGCAGGAAGAGCTGAAACTGGAAAGCAGATTGAATGTGAACGTTTCTGTCTTTTTATTCCTGCTAGGAAATACACTAAGGTCACCCAAAATTCTATATTGAATTTTGCATGGACTGCAGTGCTGAGAAAGCCATATTAACCATCAAGGAAAAAACCCTGATTTTGTGATGCTTTATTTTTATATGATTCTTTGGTTAAATTTTATGTATTCACATGTAAAAGTGTTTCTTTGAGTTTTTATGGGGAAGAGTTATTAATAGCTATATGTTTTGTGTATTTGATAGAAAAGACTAAAAAGGAAGCACTTAAGCAAGGTTCTCCAAAACAGAGAAAAGACCCGTCCTGGAAACCAGAAGATGAAGAAATGTTATCATCACTGTCTGGATTAGACACAAAAGCATCTGATGCAGAAGGATGTAAAAAAAGGGTGATGGCAACTGAGGATTCATCTGTGCCTTCAACTGGAGATCAACAGGAGCATACTCTTTGGCCAAAAAAGAATCTCAAGTCTTCAAACTATGTGCAGTCCACTTTAAGAACGTCTCAGCATTTAGTTCACAAGAAACAGAATGTTAAGCAGAAACTTTCGAAAGATACTGCACCTAAGAAACTGGCAGAAGGTGCCAGAAAGAAAATGAAAGCATTTGGCAAGAAAGGTAGCAATAAAAAGACTCAATTGCAAACAGTGGAGAGTTCTGAAAGTGAAACTGTTGAAGAAGGGCTTGAAAGAGAGTCTGTAAAGTTAAATGAAGCGTTTCCATCACCATTGCATCTGGAACTACAGACTTCTATGCTTCAGAATTCGACTAACCCTGAAAAACCTAAAAATGTTTTGCATTCGTTGGAATCACTTGGCAGTACAAATAACAAAACTCCTGTAAAACCTAAAGAGCTACTGCAGAATCTCATAGACACTGTGCAGAATTCTGAGAAGAGGTCATCAGCTAAGTCTCCAAGGAAAATACCTGAAGAGGTTCGTCGCAAAGCCCGTAAAAGTGTATGCTCAAACTCTGAGGACACTGAGCCTCAAAATACAACAGATTCTGAGAGCTCTTCTGTGCAGGACCTGGTAGAAAAAAAACCCAAGCCATCAGATGTGAAAACAAAAAGTAACAAAAGAAAACGTAGCATGCAACATGGATCACAGTAAGTAATTTGTTTGATTCCTTTAAAAAATGTGATAGAACTTGATAGTTAATGAAACCTGTTTTATCAACTTTTAAGCAGTAATTGCACAGTTGAAATATAGTCTGACAGTTTCAGACTGATTAACTAGCTAATAGAGAAACCTAGAGGTGCAATTAACATCCTGTTGGCAAAGGTAGGGTGCCAAATCTAGTGACCACTCCTACATAAGGAGACTTATACTGGAATTTGTAGAGTTCTTCTCAGACTTGAGTAGCAGATCCCATGTTAAAAAGAAAAAGCAAAAAAAAAATCCCCCTAGGATAACTTTTGAAGACACCGGTCTGTCTTGTGAAGTTGCAGAAGAGACTTCTCAAGAGAAAATACTACAACTGGTTTATGTTTTTGGCTGTTTAAAATGCAGCTAGTCCTATATTAAGAGGTACCATTCAGTTGAATTTTGAGTCATTTTTTGGTTCAGGTCATGAGAAATCCTTTTACAGGACACTGAGCATATGCCAGGTAACTAAGATGAGTTACTCATCAAGTTTACTAGCCTCACAGTGCTCAATGTCCAGTGTTTTAGAAGAAGGTGTAAAATACTCTTATAGGGGGCACTTCAGGAATAACCCGCTAACTAGAGGGTGCATCCTTAGAGCTCTGTTGCTTTATGTGAAATTGTCCTTTTTAAAGTTTTTTTTTTCTGGTGGATAGGAATGCTGGATAATTTGACCTGTTTATATTATAATATTTTTTAGTGCCCAAGACTGATGGAAATAATAGTTTTTTTAATACTGTTACGAGAATGAAGGTTGGGGACAGCCTTGGCTGCAGTGACCATGAGATGGTGGAGTTCAGGATCCTGCGAGGAGGGAGCAGGGCAATGAGTAGGATTGCAACGCTGGACTTGAGGAGAGCTGACTTTGGCCTCTTGAGGGACCTACTTAGGGGAATCTCATGGGGTAGGGCCCTAGAAGGAAGAGGAGTCCAAGAAAGCTGGTTAATATTCAAGCATCAC